GTCCTGGTGACCATTGTCACTGAGAAAGAAAGCAAGAGGAAATTCAAAAATTTAGCATTGTCCCAAGGACAAGAAGTAAGGGCAAATCTTCCAATGGAGGCACCTGTTCTAGGAATAACTGTCTAAGTGGGGCACTACCCTCACATTGGGAGATTTCCTCTCACTTCCTACTGAGTTTCTGGGACAGGGAATGAAGGGAAATATCCACAATAGTACAAAAACAGCAAACAAACAAACTGTCAAGGGTTTTAACCTTTCCCTACTCTATCCAAGCCTAAAGTACATTTTGCACTAGCCTAACCAAATTACATCACATCCTGGTTGTTGCTATGGGTTAATAGTTACATAGTTACATAGTTAGTCCATCCAGTTCAACCATTAAAAAAAAAAAAAGTTATAATCCTATACCCACAGTTGATACAGAGGAAGGCAAAAAAACCCAGCAAAGCATGATCCAATTTGCTCCTGCAGGGAAAAAAATTCCTTCTTGATCCCCTGAGAGGCAATCGGATATTCCCTGGATCAACCTTACCTATAGTAGTAGTAGTAACTGTTTGTATCCAGTTATATTCTGTGTATCTAAGAAACAATCCAGGCCTTTTTTAAAGTAATCCACTGAGCTGGCCAGAACCAACTCGAGGGAGTCTATTCCACATTTTCACAGCTCTCACTGTGAAGAAACTTTTCCAGATTTGCAGATTAAATTACTTTTCCTCCAGACGTAAAGAGTGCCCCCTTGTCCTCTGTGATGACCTCAGGGTGAATAGCTCTACACCGAGTTCACTATATGAACCACTGATGTATTTATACATGTTGATCATATCCCCCCTTAATCTCCTCTTCTCAAGAGAGAATAAATTCAGTTCCTCTAATCTTTCCTCATAGCTGAGCTCCTCCATGCCTCTTATCAGTTTGGTTGCCCTTCTCTGTACTTTCTCCAGTTCCCCAATGTTCTTTTTGTGAATTGGTGCCCAAAACTGAACTGCATATTCCAGATGAGGTCTTACTAATGATTTGTACCGGGGTAATATGATATCTCTTTCTCTGGAGTCTATACTTCTGTTAATACAAGAGAGGATTTTGCTCGCTTTAGAAACCGCAGCTTGGCATTGCATGCCATTATTAAGCTTGTGATCTACCAGAACTCTCAGATCCTTCTCCACCATTGATTCCCCCAGTTGTACCCCCCCTAGTATGTGTGATCCATGCATATTCTTAGCCCCAAAGTGCAGAACCTTACATTTATCAACATTAAACCTCATTTGCCACATAGTTGCATAGTCCAATAGAATTTGCACTTTTGCTCCATACACTTTTTATTGAAGAAAATTTTAAAGTCGCCATTCCCATACAGATTTTATATGTTTACATTTTTACCTATTGAATTAACATTCAGTGTTCTGTCTATTTAAGTGAAAGTTTCATCCATATGAATAATTAGTTGCTGTCATTAGTCACTGGCAGTATTCATGAGAACCCATAATCATTAGCTTTTAATGTGTGGGAAAAATAGATGTCATGTGGCCAAGAATTATATTTTCACCTGCACTGAGATAGGTTCTATTCTTGGCTCACTAATGAGGAGGTACTGAAGCCCCGCCCACTCTTCTGTATGCATTATACTTTCCCACACTTTTAGCTTGTGACAAAGTAAAGTGATCACCGACAGCGATCTTCACATGTCATTTTTGAAAGGTGTTTTTTTTTTTAATAAAAATAGTCTCAAATGCTAAGTCCACCCTTTACAAGAAAATAATAAGTGCATGTATATTTGAAGCAAAAAAAATGCATTTATTACTTTCTTTGCAAATCAGCCTACAAGACATTGCAGTTGCAATCAATGGATCGTTGGTGTAATGCCGTGCTCCTGCAGACTCTTCTTCCAGGTTTATGTCAATACCATTAGCGAGCCAGAGGAAGTGTCAATGGACTACAAGTGCACCGCACTCATCTTCCATTGAGAACTACTGTACAAGCCTGTGTACCATGCTAGCAGTTGGGACATTAACAATTGTAATTGTTAGATTGTAAGCTCTAACGAGCAGCACCCTCTGATCCCTCTTGTATTGAATTGCATTTTTGTAAACTGCTGCACAAACTGTTAGTGCTATGTAAATGCTGTGTAATAGTATAATTCACATTCTCATTCATGTACAGCTGCACAAATAACATGGTCCAACTGGTGGAGTTAACCTGCAGGGTAGCCATACACTGAGCGAATTTTGGCCAGTTCCAAATGTATGTATGGCCCTGTTGGCCACCTCCCGCCAACAACCTTTGATTGAAAAATCAAAGGATCCATGCAGAAAATTGGTAGTTAAACAGCGGACTTGGTGCGGAGTGATTAAAAAAAAAGGCTCAAGGACTTCTTTACCTGCATTGGTGTACTAGGCGAGTGACTCTTCTGTGCTAGGCGATTGACTCTTCTCTGCTAGGCGATTGACTCTTCCCTGCTAGGCGATTGACTCTTCCCTGCTAGGCGATTGACTCTTCTGTGCTAGGCGATTGTCTCTTCTCTGCTAGGCGATTGACTCTTCTCTGCTAGGCGATTGACTCTTCCCTGCTAGGCGATTGACTCTTCTCTGCTAGGCGATTGACTCTTCTGTGCTAGGCGATTGTCTCTTCTCTGCTAGGCGATTGACTCTTCTCTGCTAGGCGATTGACTCTTCTCTGCTAGGCGATTGACTCTTCTCTGCTAGGCGATTGACTCTTCTCCGCTAGGCGATTGACTCTTCTCCGCTAGGAGATTGACTCTTCTCCGCTAGGCGATTGACTCTTCTCCGCTAGGCGATTGACTTGCTAGGCGATCTCTTCTCCGCTAGGCGATTGACTCTTCTCCGCTAGGCGATTGACTCTTCTCTGCTAGGCGATTGACTCTTCTCTGCTAGGCGATTGACTCTCTGCTAGGCGATTGACTCTTCTGTGCTAGGCGATTGACTCTTCTCTGCTAGGCGATTGACTCTTCTCTGCTAGGCGATTGACTCTTCTCTGCTAGGCGATTGACTCTTCTCTGCTAGGCGATTGACTCTTCTCCGCTAGGAGATTGACTCTTCTCCGCTAGGCGATTGACTCTTCTGTGCTAGGCGATTGACTCTTCCTGGAATAGTCAAATGTTCTAGTTCAAAGGCACATTGGAATTCAATACAAAATAATTTATGGAAAATAAAAATACTGCAAGTAAGCATTTAAAATTCTCAATTTATGTGCTTTTTTATTTTTAATGGTTGAACTGAATGGACTTTTGTCTTTTTTTCAGCCAAACGATGTAACTATGTAAAAGGCGATTTCATAAAGCGGAGTTCCACCCAGAATGTAAAAAAATAAAAGTCAGCAGCTACAAAAACGGTAGCTGCTGACTTTTAAAAAACAGCCACTTACCTGTCCAATGATCCCACGGTGTCCTCCCTGCAGCACGTTTCACCGGCCGACCTGTGTTTCAGGCGCTGGCATCTTTAGTGTGGGCACCCGGCTGTGACAGCTTGCTTGGCTTCACAGCCGGGTACCCACTGCGCATGCACGAGTAGTGCTGCACTTCCTGAATGGCCCTGTAGTCTTCTGGGACCTGTCACATGTCCCAAAAGACTTCGGGGAGGGAGGGGGGGGGGGGAGGACAACACCCGTTTCAGATCGCCTAGGCGATCACAGTGGAAGTGGGAGCAAGTACCTGTCAATTTCGGGTACCCGCTCCCGCCCTGCTTCACAAAGGTGCCAATCCTTAATGGGGAGAGGGGGACCAGTCTTTAAATCGGAACTTCCCCTTTTTGGGTTGAACTCCGCTTTATGTTAGTGATGGAAGCAAAGTATTGCGGCTGTGACAAGTGTACACCCCTGGACCCTGCATTTGAACCTTAGGGGGAAGTGGTAAAACCAAGACTCAACTGCATGTTCTTACTGCTCTCCAATTGTAAGTTTAAGCTAGATCTTAGGAAACATTTAGATTTCTACTAGCAGCCGGCACTAAAAGCCCCATGCAAAGATCTACTCCACCAAGCCACTGACAATTTACATACCATCAAGAAAGAGGGCCAGTGAAAATGGGCCTCAGCCAATTGAAATGCTATCCCTACTATTCACATCAGTAGCTATTTCAGTTAGTAGAAATTAATCTCTACAAGCTTTGCCCTGGTAATGGCAACCCTAACCAGAGCCACATTCAAATCTATTATTAGGAGGATTGATCCACTCTAATTATAAATATGCAATGACAATAATATGCAATAACATAGTTATATTTCGAGGAGCATTGGTAAATACTAATTCTAGGTCGCCTCTCCGTCTAGTCACCACACTGAGCATACCCAAGTTTTCCTATCTTCTCACCCAGAGTCCAAACAGAGCAGTGGGAGAGCAAAAGAGAGTAGGTAGGTAGGGCCAGCAGCCGTAGGGCCAGCATTAAAGTGAACCTGTCATTTCCTTGTATAGGCAAAGCACAGCTTCACTTCGATCTTCTATTTCACTTTCCAAAAGATTCTTTTGGAACCAGACAGTTCAAAACTTTGAGAAGCACAGAAAAATACTCCTTTTAAGTCACCTCTCCTTTTATGCCACCACACGGAGCTTACACAAGCTTTCCTATGTTCTCACCCAACACCCAAACAGACCAGTGGGAGAGCAAGGGATAGAAGGTAGGTAGGGCCAGCAACCGGTAGGGCCAGCATTAAAGTAAACCTATTATTTCCTTGCCTTGGAAAAGCATAGCTTCACTTTGATCTTATATTTTACTTTCCAAAAAATCCTTTAGAACCAAACAGTTCAAGCTTCGTGGAGCATCAGCAAATACTGACGGGGGACATGTGACATCATCAGGGGCGGACTTACAACTCATGGGGCCCCCGGGCAATAGGGGATCATGGGGCCCCTGTGTCCTTTCCCAAACTCAAAAAAGCCTATGAAAAAGGTTCCAGGGGCATCTCATGGGGCACCCTACTGACCCCGGGCCCTTGGGCAGTGCCCGAGTTTCCAAATGGTCAGTCCGCCCCTGGACATCATCTCTTTCTAAGTCATCACTTGGAGCTTACCTAAGCTTTTCTATCTTTTCACCCAACAAACAGAGCAGTGGGAGAGCAAAGGATAGTAGGTAGGTAGGGCCAGCAGCCGGTGGGCCAGCAATAACGTGAACCTGTCATTTACTTGCACAGACAAAGCACATGTTCACTTTTATCTTCTGTTCCACTTTCCCAAAGATTCTTTTTTGAACCAGACAGCAATTTATTTTTGAGTGTTATGCGCCTAGCAATCTGCTTGTTTGTCCTGTATTAATTAGATATTAATAACAATGCATTGTAGCAATCCAGAAGCTTTTACAAGGGTGTATCTTGTTCCACCTAGAGAACAGAAACACCTATGATTGCAAAGCGTTAATGGGATAACCTCAATAAACTTTCTGTGGAATTTAGGACTTATTGTTAGTGGAGTGGCACAGCTCCAAACAAGTGCTGCAGTCTCTAGGTCTCATGAATCAAAATGTGCAGCATAGGAACTGCACTGCTCTCTATATACCAGTTATATAATCATTGGAGTATTGTTACCATAAGCTCTCATACATGAAGATTTTTATCATCTGAACAGAAGAATCATCTACACGGAACTCTTAAAGTGGTAGTAAAGTCATATTTACATAATTCCCTGACAGGCAGGGTTTTTATAACAGAAGAGACCCAAGTCATTTCTTTTGTCATAAATGGTGCTGGCATTTAATAAAAAAAAAAGTCATAATGCTACCAGCATAAGGCCCCATGCACAAAGAGCATTTACCCAGCTCTCCTAAACAGCAGAGACAGAACAGTAAATTAGGATTTACCAAAAAAATATAGCAAAGTGCTTTTAAATGTATATATCAGTGTTTCTCAACCTATTTTCAGTCCTGGCACCCTTTAAAATTATGGACAATTTCAAGGCACCCTCTAAAATTATGGACAGTCCCGAGGTACCCTTTAAAATTATGGACGGTCTTGAGGCACCCCATTCTAATAGTTTTATATTATGCAGCAACATCCACACATGGACACCCAACGCTAGAGATGATTTATTCTTCCCAATCAAATACACTTTTGCACATTGGTCCTGACTAGTAATACAGTGTTTCTCTCAGTTTTTCTCCATCACTGAGCTAATGTGACCAGGGGTGGACTGACAACTCATGGGGCTCCCGGGCAATAGGGAATCATGGGGCCCCTGTGTCCTTGCCCAAACTCAAAAAAGCCTATGAAAAAGGTACCAGGGGCATCTCATGGGGCCCCCTTCTGACCCCGGGCCGACGGGCAGTGCCCGAGTTTCCAAATGGTCAGTCCGCCCCTGAATGTGACCCCAGCACTGATGGATAGGGGCAGGGAAGGGTCAAACAAGGATGCTGTGCAGGCAGATGACACCCTCCTTATCAACTGATGTCATTGGCCGGTGACTAGAAGTTCGTAATGGCGCACAATGAAAAACTGTGGCTTTGTGTAACTAAAAGTTGGGCTTCTTCCACCCACTAGCTTGTATACAAGTTTTGTGCAATGTTTAGACATTTTGCCAAGGCACCCCTAAAGAGACCTCAAGGCACCCCAGGATGCCTGGGCACCCTGGTTGAGAAATGCTGGTATATATAACAGACCAAAGTGAAGCAATAAGAGAAGTTCATTGTTAGGTTTTATGTACCAGGGATTTCAATACATACCTGCTGTTCAGGAAAGTCTCACTTCCCCATTACCTGGTTTACAAACATAGATGTGTGGCGCGTTGCAGTGTCATTCATTGTGAATGGCACCCAACACATTGTACAGCAGAACACACACACAGCAGCACACCACAACACGTGTACCATGCATTGTGGTGTGCTTGGGTGTTAAAAATGGTCATCTGCTTTTTTCTTTTTTTTTTATCCACTGCGGTGCATTACTCATATTACAACACATATTAGCGTCATGTCACAATGTGCCTTACAGACTAAGTTCACCTTTTTAAAAAAAATTAACAACGCACATTTTTTTTTCAAATAACTGCAGCCTGTAAGGTATTGCACCAGCAACCAGCACCAGCGACCAGCAGATCGCGGGTGGAATGCTTGGATCCTGCAGACATTTAGTAAGCTGTCTGCCCATACCTCCTGTACAGGCAGGCACTTGCTGAATGACAGGAAGAATCAATAAACTACAAGAGTACTTACCAGCACCCTCGCAGTTCATTGAGAACTACAAGCTGTTCCCCGTGGAGGCCAACAGTAGATGTAGTTAATTCATTCATAGAGTTCTGTGAATGAATGACATGGCCATGTGGGCGGAGCCCCACACATCCACACTGTTTGTAAATTCTGACAGTGGGTGCCGATGCAAAATCCCCTGCCCGCTGTCACAGGGAGTAGGGATAGGGGGAAGAGGAGGCGGGAGCTGGAACATGTTACATGTTCCACCCTTAATATAGCTGGAATGTGTTACATGTTCCAATGGTGATGGATCCTTTATTGCACATGCATTAATGCTGTAAACCTTTTGCAAGGTAAATGGCATCCTTAGCAATGTCCTTAGGTTTATTGCACTTGGGGGGGGGGGGGGGAGGCTAACATGGATGAAGAATTTGCACATTCAAAGCAATACTACTGGTGCAATGGGGGACATTTAGTAAAACAGATGCACACAGAATTTGGTGCCGCTGTGCATAGTAACTAATCAGCTTCCAGGTTTTATTGTCAAAGCTAAATTGAGCAAGCTGAAGTTAGAGGCAGATAGGTTACTATGCATCCTTGCACCAGATTCTGAGGGCACCAGTTTCAGTAAATCTCCCCAATATGACTTCAAATAATATAATGTTAGCACTTGTCACTGCAATAGCTTATCTTCAGATGTGCAGAGTAAAAGCAGGTAAGGATCTGCAATAACATTTTCTATACTCTTCTGCATCCATGCCCTTTGGCATCAAGACAGACTTCATGAAGGTTTTGGGAGTTTGGTTTGGTGCCGAGGGGCGCAGCCCTGAAGTCTTGGGAGGAGAGACTGGCCAAGATGCGCCAAAAGTTTGGACTCTGGAGCCTCAGAGACCTCACCATCGAAGGGAAGACACTGGTACTCCGCAGCGAGATTCTCCCTGTGTTGCAGTACCTCGCCCAGGCCTGGCCCCCTCGGGTCAACACCTGCAAGGCCATAACCAGGGCGGTGTTTCACTTCATCTGGGGCTCCAAGATGGACAGAGTGAAGCGGGCAGTCATGTTCAAGGAACCCCTCAAGGGCGGTAAGGGCGTGCCCGACATCACCACCCAGCTGAGGGTGTTCTTTGCTTGCAACTGCATCCGCAGAACTTTGCCAAGACGGATTATGGACTCTGGCGGGAACGCAATGTCTCGCTTCTTCCTGTTGCCTCTCTGGAGGTCCCTGGGGTGGGACACTTGGGATAGTTCCATCCCCTACAACTGGGACACTCCTTGGTACTACTTGGATACTTTCAAGTTCATCAGGGAGCAAGGGCTACAGGGAGTCAAGCCTGACTTGTGGAAGCCAAAGACTATCTACAAGCTCATCCGAGCCAGTGACATTTTGGAGTCGGTTCCAGGCCTGCCTTCGGACACCTGCAAGGTGGTCTGGAGGAATGTTTCTTCAAACATCCTCACCAACAGGCACAAAGACCTGGCATGGATGGCTATCCAGGGGGGACTGCCTCTCAGGACATTTATGCATGCCAGGAACCTGAGCAGATACAGACACTGCCCCTTCTGCATCATCCATGAGGAAACGTCTTACCACGTTTTCTGGGAGTGCTCATTTGCTCAGGCCCTGTTGGGGGCCCTGGAACCTGAACTCAAGGACTTTGTGCCACAGACAGCCATCACTCACTTTGGGGTGCTGAATGGACTGTTCTGTGGAACCTTTTCTCTGGAGGACATTGACAGCGCCTGGCGGGTGCTGTGCTGTTTTAAGGACGCTTTATGGTGCGCCAGAAAGCGCCTCACCCTCCAGCGGGAGAGGATGTCCATTGAGGACTGCCGCAGACTGACCCTCAGTCTGCTCAGAGACTATTCCTTGATGGACTTTAAGGAGGAAGAGGACGTCTGAAGATTTCCCCCTTCCCCCTACTCCCCCTTGCGTGTCTTTGTCCCTTCAATAAAGCTTCGGGCCTGTGTCTCCCCCTTCCTCCCCCTTCCCCCCCCCCACACACCCGACGCCTATTGTTGATCGTGTTTTTTCAGTTATCGTTATAGTGCATGACATAGTGACTAGGAAATGTATATTGTATTAGGATGCTACAGTTTTTGGGGTAAGCGGCGTCATGCATGACGTGGTGGTCCGGAGGATTCATCCTCCGCGCACATCACGTCAGGCATCATACCGCTGAGCGAATGTATTTATTTGCCTGACTGTATTTATCGTATGCTTGGAACTGTATTGCTATGTGGTGCGCTGCGTCGCAGTACAGGGTGAGATGTACCCCGATTACACGTAACATGTTGTTTTTGATGCTTCTGCAATAAAAGTATCTTTTCAATCAAAAAAAACATTTTTCTATAACTATAAATCTCAATGTCCTCCCCCCCCCCCGCCTATTCTTTTCTCCTCCATACCTATATCTCTTCTCCCGTCCACTATGTATACCTTTAATATAGGAGTGGCAATGTTCCTCTTCATCTCATGCCTTCCCTACTGTCTCTTACCTCACTATTTCCTTTTTCCTTTCATTTTAGAATATTTATTGAAAAAAGCAATGGGAATTGACCTTATACCCCCTATTTCATTGATTAGTATTAGGGGGTAGGGATTCTTATTTTTCCACCATATATACACTCACCGGCTACTTTATTAGGTACACCTTGCTAGTACCGGATTGGACTCCCTTTTGCCTTCAGAACCGCCTTAATTCTTGGTGACATTTATTCAATAAGTGTTGGAAACATTCCTCAGAGATTTTGGTCCATGTTGACATGAGGTACTGTTGCCTTTCTATCATCTTGAACTATTCTGCCCATTCTCCTCTAACCTTTGACATCAACAAGGCATTTTCATCCACACAACTGCCGCTCACTGGATATTTTCTTTTTTTTGGACCATTCTCTGTAAACCCTAGAGATGCTTGTGCATGAAAATCCCAGTAGATCAGCAGTTTTTGAAAT